CTCTCTCTGTGTATCTCATCCACTCATTGCTTTATCCTCCCCTGAGAGCCTAAAGGTAATGGAGCAGGGCAGCATGGTTAATTCAGGATGTGGAAAAACTGTATAGAGTAGAGGCAATGGATTCAGGGCGCATGTAATGGCTATGTGGGTGGAACGCATACATACACACATCTATTCGCTTTTCAACAAACACAAAATATGCTAAATATATTCTGCAACCATTGACTGGTGCTTGTTTAACACCCTGCAAACTGGCTACTCTAATGAATTTAATTAATCAGGTGAAGTGAACAGGTTTATGTTGGATAAATAAAGTTCAGGTCAAACTTGTGGCGTATTATACACCCAAGTCACAAAGGGCATTATGGCTCTCTCTACAGACAGCACTATCCAAATCCAGCAGCAGTGCTGGTAAAAAGACTCTACCAATCAATAGCAGAGATGAAGGGGGGCTGAGATTAATGGGCCGGCGGTGGCAGGCCAAACAAGCTCTAATTTGTTACACCCATCTATAATCACACTGTCTGAAACTGCTACCAGATTTCTGTTCAGTAAATCATGGAACAGATCAGCAGGAAAATTTTAGAAGATTTTAGAAGATTTTCAAGGTCTTAAAGGGGTCATCGGATGCCCATTTTCTACAAGTTGATATGATTCTTTAGGGTCTTAATGAAAAGTCTATAACATACTTTGGTTAAAATTTCTCAATGGTAGTGTAAAAAACACCTTTTTTACCCTGTCAAAATCAGCTCTGTTATCACCAAGCCATTCTAGTCCATGTTGCTTTAAATGCTAATGAGCTCTGCTGACCCCGCCCCTCTCTTCCGTGGGGTGACCTGCTTTTATACAGTCTATGGGGGTGACGAGCAGACTAAACTTCAGCCGCGAAACTGGCTAACTAGCAAGTTATTAGGAAAGGCGATTTGCAAAGATTCATAAAAAAACCTTATACTCACTACTTCTGTTGATGAAGCTGGATCACGAATGATTCGCGCGAACATAGACGCATTTAGGCAGATCGGAATCGGCGCATTCCCTTCAAAACGAAAGTACCGTTAATCGATCAGATGTCGGGAGTAAATGACGACTGCTATATTCATTATTTCATCCAACAACAAAACACCTCAATATCGCTTAATCGGAGACGTTCTTGTCTTCCCCTGCACCGGAGTCGACACAATGGTGGACTGATGACAGCTCACTCAGGGGCGGGTCTAAGGTATGACGCTACTGTCAATCAACTATCGTGGGAGGGGCCTGTACAGAACTACATCACTCTGACAGGAACCTCAGAACAGACTGGTTTGAGAAAGGGGGTTTTAAAATAGGGATTTAAAGGGGTCATATGATGCTGCTAAAAAGAACATTATTTTGTGTATTTGGTGTAATGAAATGTGTTTATGCGGTTTAAGGTTAAAAAAAACACATTATTTTCCACATACTGTACATTATTGTTTCTCCTCTATGCCCCGAAACGTACTTGGAGTCTGTGAGTCAGAACAGCCAGCATTGTGGTCTACTCTCCCAGGATCAGTAAACAGTCCTCCATAAAATGCGCTGCACACATCTGGATATTTGGGTTGAAGTGTTCTGGAACAGTGTTGTAAATACAACTTAACCACTGATTTCTAGTCATGTCCTCTTTTGGCAGGCCGAATCTATGAATGAGTCAACCGATTCACTCAGAAAGTAGAAACTAAACAAGATAACTGTTATTGAAATTATTTACGCTATTTTATTATTGTTTAATTATGATGTGATTATTTGAATTCCACCTCAACGCGTCGCCGTGGAAACGCTGAATCAAATTACGCACCGCTTTTTAACCGTTGACAGAATGAAACGATAAAGATATTTCCTCGGCGAACATCGTGAAGTGATTTTAACAGTGAATTTACGACTTGACCTGGAGAACGAACGCTCTATAGACGCAGGTAACCGCACACACACTCTCTCATCATTCTCTTCTCAGTAATACTCTTTAATACTGTACCTCAAGAAGCCCAAGCCGTCGTAGCTGCTTCTAAAGTGACTATGTAAAGTGAATTAGTATTTGTTAAACTCTTAGCGGCCGTTCACACGCGTTTTTTATTCACTGAGCTGCTTTTCTATGTAAACGCGTGCTAAACGGATGCGTTTGAGCGTTGCGCTCGCGTCTTTTGCGGCATCTCGCGTTCTAAAAACGCAGCGTTTAAGTCAAAATAAGTTGAACTTTAAACAAACGCGTCTGGAGACCAGTGCTTTTCCCCATTGCACTGCCCGCGTCTCGCGTTTTTCAAATCAGAAACGCGTTGTGAAGCTTAACGGCGCGTTTGAATCTATGGCGTTAGAATTTACTGTAGCTACAGTCTATCTTAAATATCTTAAATCCATCTCAACAAATTCATAGCGATGGTTGTAGACGTTCACACAGAACGCGTTTTTGTGTTCCACTTTCCGTGTAAACTCTATTCCATGTAATTCTATTCTGTTTCTATTCCATCTACTCGTTTTCTTATTTATTTATTTAAAAAACACTTAATCCTTTAACGCTTGCTTTCTTTTTATTAAAAAAAAAAAAAAAAGAGTAGAGCTTATGGTTATGGATACTACTATGCCTTGTTCAATGAGCAATAGCTTTGCTACTGCAGTATTTTCCAGTATTTATCAAGTATTTTCCTGCTGTATGCAGTCTTTTAATTGTACAAAATAACTCAGTCAAATACAAACAGGCCTTACTTAAAAATCGCAGACTTTTGAGAATCAACTTAAAATAAATGAGCACATTTCACTAATTATATTAAATCCATTGTGTCATAAATTAAATAATTTAGGTTTTACGTGATTTAGATTTTACGTGATTTATTCGGGTAGATTCCGTTAAAAATTCAAGCCTTAAAACTACTCAAAAAATATTATGCGCAATATTGTTACCATAATTTTAAAACACCAGGGATTCCCAAACATTTTCATCAGCTGAACCCATTTGAGCTCAAATATTTACTAGAGATTTTAAGTTAATATTTCAATAAAGTTTGATGGGTTAATGGTCACATTTAATGTAAGCAAACTCATTTTTATGTTTGATTGATTTTATTTTAAAACCTTTTTTTGTTGTTGACATTTTTATGATGCAGCTCCCTCATGACTACACACTCATCTGCACTCACTTCACTGCGCTCGCGCTCCTTCTCCGTGTTCCATCTCTTCAGTAGTCTGCTCTTGCTCTTCTCTGAAGTCGGCGTTTTTTTGCCCATGGCGGCTTCGTTCATTTTCCTGACGTGGGAGATCAGAAAACATGGGACCTGCGGACATGAAGAGCAGACATCAGAAAACAACGACTTTAAAGGGGTCCTATTATGCTTTTTCACTTTTTTAATTTTAGTGTGTAGTGTGTATGTTTGGGCATAAAAAAGATCTAGAAAGTTACAAATCTCAAAGTCCACTCCAAAGAGATATTTTTTTTTAAATCCCTTTTCAAGAACTACAACGAACGGCTCGTTTGGACTACAGCGTTTGGTTTCCGGGCTTTGTGGTATCACAAAGCGGCTCCTTAGAATATCATTACAAATAATTCCC